CCACATCCAAGGAAGGCAGCAGGCGCGCAAATTACCCACTCTCAGAATGAGGAGGTAGTGACGAAAAATAACGAGACCGTTCTCTTTGAGGCCGGTTATCGGAATGGGTACAATTTAAACCTGTTAACGAGGATCTATGAGAGGGCAAGTCTGGTGCCAGCAGCCGCGGTAATTCCAGCTCTCAAAGTGTATATCGTCATTGCTGCGGTTAAAAAGCTCGTAGTTGGATCTGCGTCTCAGGACCTGGTCCATCCATTGGATGAGAACTGGGCTCCTAGACTAATATTGCCAGTTTTCCTTACGTTACCTTGATTGGTTGCGTATGGTGGCTAGCAAGTTTACCTTGAAAAAATTAGAGTGCTCAATGCGGGCTAATGCCTGAATACTCGTGCATGGAATAATGAAATAGGATCTCGGTTCTATTTTGTTGGTTTTCTGATCTGAGATAATGGTTAAGAGGGACGGACGGGGGCATTCGTATCGCTGCGTGAGAGGTGAAATTCTTGGACCGTAGCGAGACGTACGACTGCGAAAGCATTTGCCAAGAATGTCTTCATTAATCAAGAACGAAAGTCAGAGGTTCGAAGGCGATCAGATACCGCCCTAGTTCTGACCGTAAACGATACCAACTAGCGTTCCGTTGGCGGTAAATACGCCTTGACGGGCAGCTTCCCGGAAACGAAAGTTTTTCGGTTCCGGGGGAAGTATGGTTGCAAAGCTGAAACTTAAAGAAATTGACGGAAGGGCACCACCAGGAGTGGAGCCTGCGGCTTAATTTGACTCAACACGGGAAAACTCACCTGGCCCGGACACCGTGAGGATTGACAGATTGAGAGCTCTTTCATGATTCGGTGGTTGGTGGTGCATGGCCGTTCTTAGTTGGTGGAGTGATTTGTCTGGTTTATTCCGATAACGAGCGAGACTCTAGCCTACTAAATAGTTACTGAATAATTCTACTGTTCAGACAACTTCTTAGAGGGACAAGCGGTGTTTAGCCGCATGAAGTTGAGCAATAACAGGTCTGTGATGCCCTTAGATGTCCAGGGCTGCACGCGCGCTACACTGGAGGAATCAGCGTGCTGTAACCATTACCGAAAGGTATTGGTAACCCCTTGAAAATCCTCCGTGATCGGGATCGGGAATTGCAATTATTTCCCTTGAACGAGGAATTCCTAGTAAGTGTGAGTCATCAGCTCACGTTGATTACGTCCCTGCCCTTTGTACACACCGCCCGTCGCTGCCCGGGACTGAGCCGTTTCGAGAAAAGCGGAGACTGCTGTTTTGATACCTTTCGGGGTGG